ATTTTACATATATTTTTATTAAGGTTAGATTAAATTTGTCAAAAAAGTGTCAAAACGTCCGTTATCGTATGAACGGATCCGTTGACGGGCTGAAGTAAAATATTACGGATGAAAAGTAGCGCGAAAACGCTATGACCAATCAGAGCACCGTCGGACCAACGTATCAACGTATAACCATGGTACAAAGAAAACAAGGTATGATCGATAGCGGCTCCAATTTCGTTAAGTTTGCGCATACCACCTGTGACGTCATACGCCATACAAAAAATATCCATATTGTTCAATTGCCACTAATAAAAAAAGACCTAAAATAGGGAGAATTAGGACATAACCCCAAAAGTTATGTCAAATCATCGAGCTTGACATTTGTAAAATTATTTTCACATTTATTTATGTCATCTGTTTGACAATTTGAAATTGGCGCGCGGAGCTTGCCGACCAATGGTGCCGTTTATCACCTGTGACGTAGTGACCAACCTGCGCAATATCATATCTTGTATTCTTTGTATCATGACGTATAACGGATGCATGAAAATCAAGCTTAATATAGTACTATTCTTTTAAAAGTTCCTCAATATGGCCGACCTAGTTACGAAAATTGGTAATTTTTTTTTAATGAAAAATAAGTTGGCGTTAGCGAATTCAGAAATTGATTTACTCTTTGGTTAACAGTAATATTTTTCAAGATTGTCAAGTTGACGTTAAAGTTAGGTTATTAGGTGGTTGTCATAAATAAAAAATAGATTATTGAAATTATTTAATAAGAATAAAGGTATTTTACCGCAGATCCGAAGAGATTTTACTTAAAGGTATTTTATAAACTTTCCCAGTGAGAATATTAACTCCCCTGTTTCTTATATTTCAGTTAAAGGGACGTAAGAACTATAGGAAGTAAATTTTTGTTTTCATGTTTTGACGATATCTGAGAGTTCCCTAGAATTATCAAGATTATTGAATAATTATAGTTGTTTAATAAGTGAAATTAATAGAAGACTTGGAAATAGGATGATGCTTTTCATGTTATAGTTGATAGATCACCCCATTTCTCTTTTTTTATTTCAGTACAGTTAATCACAAATTGAATTGATGTGTGCAAAAACAGCTATATATTTTCAAACATCTTATTTAAATAGTTCTTTATACACTGTTAAACTGTATCAACTACAAAGTATTTAGCAAAAAATTATAAGGTAATAAATTTTGTAGATATAATTTATGAAAATTTATAATATATAAAGATTAGAACACAATCCTTTGAAGGACAAAGAAATACTCAAAAACTCATTAAATATACTTTATTAAAAATAACAACATACAAAAACATTCATGCAAACTGTAATAATCAGAACATTATCCACATTATACCTTTTATTAAATTTGTGTTCCTGTCAGGAAAGCCAGAAATGTTTGTTTAAATATTAACTTATTTTAATTTGCCAGAAACACATCAGAATATATCACAACCACAACTATAGGTTAATCAGTACTAAATTTTATACCTAGTAAGTGATGCGTTAACTAACAAGTATAGGATAAAAAACAATTATTAATATAGAGTGTACTATACAATGTCCTGCTTATTTATGAAATGACTTTCCCTTCAAATGTGAGGAATACCAGTAAAATAAAACATAATTTTTGGTTTGGTTTGGTGTTTGATATTCTAACAACATCTATTACAAACCTTAAGTGCTTTTAGTGAGTAACTGTATTTTTTATTATTCTTTGTGTATCCTGTAAAGTAAAAAATATATATTTCAAGAAATATAAAAACAATGCAATAGATATCAAACAGATTCATAAAAACTACTTAAAATTATTGTACATAATTATATATTTCAAGTGTTATTTGATGTTTGGTCCCATTACGAACATTACCTTATTTAGGTCTTCTCTACTAACTCAACTTTTAAACCTGTTTTAAACCTTCTTTATATTTTCAAACTGATTTACAACAATCTGCCCAATGCCCGCGCTGTTTCCTGAAATATACGTTTTAATCTATTTATTATCATATAGTACATATTACAAACCTGAAAATTACTGATACGACAGAAACTTCTCAAAATAATTAGAGACCTTTTTTACAAACATCTGGACTAATTTATTTTCACGAATTTGTGAACGAGTCAATATTTTCTAATAGCGTTTTTGCACACACATTTGAATATCTTCCAGCCTATTCGTCAATTCTTGATCGGGAAAAGATTATTTATAACTATATAATTAGTACTGCAGGTTAAATAAAAGAACAAAATCAAGTAGAATTTGTGAATAAAAGCTCAAAAAATAATGAAAATATTTAGAAAGACGAACCGTAAACGTCAATGTCAGCCAAGTGTCAGAATTCAATTGGATTTACCACAGATTATCAATTTGAACGATTTGAAGTACAGTCGATTCCAGTTTAGAGATTTTCGTTTTTTAAGCCTTCCATACTGAAGTCCGCCATATTGAGAAGTTTTAAATGAATACAAGTATACTACAGTAATATAATAAAATATTACTGCTGTATTAAGCTTCATTCAGAACCTCGCAACAGTTCGCGGTAGTCTGTTGTATCCACAGAGAAAGCATAATATTTAGCTTATAAAACAATAAACAAAAATTTTTCTTGACGGATGATAATCAAATGCCAAAATGACATTCCTCCCATATTTTGAAGTATAATTAGTGGAAAAGTAAAAAATTTGGATGGATTGGGAAATTTGGATTAAGGCAGGAGGGCAATATCTATGTTGAAGGGATCAAGGAATCTCTAAAGCTAATAAGAAAAACATATATAATACGGTAGTGAAAAGCATAATAACTTACGGAAGCGAAGTATGGCAGTTGAAAAGCGGAACAGAGAACATGCTATTAGCGACCGAAATGGATTACTGGAGGAGATCTGCTGGAAAATCGAAAAGAGAACAAATAACCAACGACAGAGTAAGAGAGATTATGGGAGCAGAACACACAATTGTGGATGACATAAGAACAAAACAACTCATATGGTTTGGTCATTTACAACGAATGCTCGATCACAGAATACCAAAACAAATTTTACTGTGGACACCTGGAGGTAGAAATAAAAGAGGAAGGCCTCGACGAAGTTGGAGGGAGGGTGTGGATAAAGAACTAGAAAATAGAGAAATACCTGATGATCTCTGGCTAAATAGAGAAGAGTGGAGGTTAGGTGTCGGAAAACGTCGTAGAACGTTCTGAACCGACTTATATATATATACCTAGTAACAGTTTACTTAAGTCAGATGTATCCACAGAAAAAGCCTAATAATTAGCTTGTAAAATAAACTTTTTATTTTTAACCACCATTTTTCTTGACGGATGATAATCAAAGGCCAAAATGACATTACTCTAACTACTATTAACTTTTTCTACTAATTGAAAATTGCTACTACTAATTTTGACGTTCTGAATGCTTACTTTGAAATTAGAGGAACGTATTTCTATGCTAACTTGAAACCACTAATTTATTCCACTAATTTCGAGGTTCTGGTGCATCTTGGCTTTGAATAAACTGTAGGACATCTTAAGTATTAAGGATATTTTCTTAAGAACGAAATTTTATCTACTAATATCAAAAATTAACAATCTACCATGCACAAAATTAAATAGAATAATGAAAACTCTTTATCGGTATGAAATACAGTAATATTGTCGCAATAATTAAATTATAAGGCTAATAACCTTCACTTATTTAAATAAACGATTGTTATTACATGAAGAAAATTGCATTTTATTACTTTTTTATGTTTAATTAAGAATTTAAATTTATGCAGCAGCTGTAAGAAATAAGTGAGTTTTTACTACTATTTGCATTAATCAATTTATTATGAGCATTACAAGTTCATAAATTTTCTTAACAATGTAAAGAATATATTTAGTAAGACTTATGATCCATTAAATACGTCTATTTTTATTTTCAAGATACTTTTTTCTATTTAAAATTAGAACATTTTAGTAAACCATAATTAGTAGGTAGTAGGTAAATCTTTGTTGCTACAGGATCAGGTTTTTTAAGATGCCGCGGAATCAGTTATTTTCGGTACTTTCAGTACTGACTAATTTTTCTTCAATGGTGGTGCAGTTTATCAATCAGAAAGCAAGGGATGGTTTTTCGAAATAAAATGGATAGAAAATTGATATTTTTAATGAAAATATTATCAAATTATTAAGTAATCAGTCATGAAAAAATTAACATGAACACAAGTAAGGAAAAAAAGATAGGTAACTTAAATTTCACATCAAACAACATAAACCAACTTAACTGAATTTGAGACTAAAGTCCTAAAATATTGAATTCAAAATGCAAATATCTATTAAAACATAACATAATAAATATTATAGGAACTTCAAAAGAGAAAAGAATCAAGAACAATAAGAAATAGCATCATTACTTATTTAGAAGAGTTTGATTTCGACCCCTATAAAGCATCAAAGGACTTTCTCACATAACAAAAAAATTATTTTTTATTTATTGTTACCCAGGCCCGGTTCTGTGATGGCCAAAAAGATCTAAACACTAATTGGTAGTATTAATTAGAGTTTCCAAAACCGTACTCAAATATTTTCGTTCAACGATTGTGGAGTTCGTCAGTTAGCAAGCAAGGGATGGTTTCACAAAAGTAAAACCGATAAAAAATTGAGTTTCAAATGAAAATAATTTTAAATTATTAAGTCATGAGAAAGTTAACACGGACACAAATAATGAACACAAGCGAAAAAAAAATGAAAACACATAGGTTGCTTAAAAATTACATCAAACAACATCAACAAACCTCGAAACCAACTTAACTAAACTAGAAAAAAAAACTTAAACAAACAAAATAAAGATCTATAAAAACAATTAAAGATCTATAAAAACATAGCACAAAAATAATATTTTCGAGTCCCGGTTCTTTCGGTACTGGGATTTCCTGGTTCTGAACCCTAATTGGCTATCTCCAGATTTCTCCACTTTCTTAAATACTATTACTGATAATTGTGTCTTTTTTCAGCAATGACCGGTGGCTGGTTCACCATGTTCATGGGCGTTTTCAGTTATATCGCCGACGTCACCACGGTCGAAATGAGGACGCTTCGAATCGGGATAGTGAACGTGTTCTGTTCCCTGGGGATTCCCGTGGGGCTCGCGCTCAGTGGCGTTCTGTACAAAAAAATCGGGTTCTACGGTGTGTTCTCCATATCTTCAGTGTTGTACGTGATGGCGATCTACTACGGCTACACCAAGGTGAAGGAACCGAAGAAGATCGACATTCCGGTGTTGAAGGATGTGCCGTGTGCGTTTTTGAGGGATTTCTTCGATGTGAGGCATCTAGTTGATACCTTCAAGGTGGCGTTCAAGAATGGACCGAATAACAGGAAGATGAAAGTGATGCTGCTGATGTTGGTGGTGATGGTTGTTATCGGACCAATGCATGGTGAGTTGAAAAATAAATCGTTATTTTAATTTTTTTTTAAATCCGTTGTATACAGGGTGCTACAAATTATGTTAAATTGGGTCAAAGTTTCGCTTTGGGATGTTCACAAAGATGCCATCAAAAATATTTGAAAAATTTCAAGGATTGCTGGGTTTTTTGGAAAAAAGGATTTTTTGAAACTAAATTTTATTTTTTACTGACGTTACTTTTTAGAAAATCAAAAAACTAATTGCACATTCTCATAGCCACTTTATTAGGACTATCTGATAGTATTTTTAGATTTTCAAATTACGTGATAATTTGTGAGATACAGAGGCCAACTTAATTTTTTTAAATACGGACCTGCAATTTTTATTTCAGGTTTTGAAAGAACTCGGTCTCCTGAGTACAATGATATCCCACACTTTTTACTTTTTTCTGTTTCGGACTTTTGAACACAATTTATTTAAACTAATTTCCTAAAGTCCGGCTCTGTGTTTTTTTAATATTTAATCTATTCATCGTTACAATATGGGGGAGAAGGGGATATTACTTGACGGCATTTATAAAAGTGAAATCAATATATCTCAACATTTACAATAAAGAGTACAAAATGCATTCGGAAGTATAAGAAGAAAGTTCAAAGAGCTATAAATAAAATTGAACGAAAAAAAAATTGTGCAATTGGGAGGGTGGTAACCAGTGGTAACTCTTTCGGACATGTAGAACATTAGAAACTAGTTTGTAGAAGTTGATTTATTTATAACAACTACCATTAATATTATGCATATTATTAGACTGTTACACTAAGATTTCAAATTCACAATAAAAAAAGTTAAAAATAATATCTTTAAATTGCTGACCTGGATATTATGGATATTATTTATTTGAATCCTCCAGTTGCCTCGATTTTCCTTATTCAATGTTAATTAGCGCTGATCAATATTGTTACGATGAATATAATCAGATTAAATAATTTTAAAAAGCAGAGTCGGACTTGAAATTATTTTAAATAATAATTAAATAGTTTTGTTGATGTTAAGGTATCCAAAACAAAAAAAGTATAAAGTGTGGCATATCATTGTACTCAGGAGACCGAATTCTTTCAAAACTTGAAATAAAAAATTCAGGTCCCTATTTAAAAAAAATTTAAGTTGGCTAGATAATTTGAAAATCTATTTTTAGATTTTGTGTCAGATAGTCCTAATAAAGTGGCTACGAGAATATGCAATTAGTTTTTTGATTTTCTAAAAAGTAATGACAGAAAAAAAAGTTGACTGTAAAAAAAATCCGTTTTTTCCAAAAACGCAATCCTTGAAATTTTTAAAATTTTTGTTGATGGCATCTTGGTGAACATTCTAAAGCGCAACTTTGCCCTAATTCAAACATGTTCGTATCTATTACGGTTACCGAGATACCAGTGCTCGTACTTCGAATTTGTAGCGCCCTGTACAGGGTGTCCCAATATTACATATTATGTATTTCTGGAATCAAATTAAGGGGGGTTAAATGAACACAATTTAGTCTATAGAAAAGTGCTTCATTTGTCTTTTAGAATGCACCAATTAGAAATAAATCTAAACGTTAATTAATTTAAAAATTATGCCTTCTAAATTATTATTATCGCCTACAGTATTTTAACGCTTGATGAGACTCTCTCTTTGTTTTGTATAGTATGGTATACCTTATTTTCATTATTATCTGATATTCTATCTATAAATTATTTTATCATTGATTATATCTATTTAAATATTATAGACAGAGGTTTGAATTATCTGCATCATATTTTCGAAAGTTACAAGAATATCCTTCAATCAGATTTAAGACAACATACTATGGTATACATATACAAAATCAGATTGATATTTGGACGTGTTTCTACTAAACGAAAATATATTTTTTAAGGTTCAGTTTTGTATTAAAAAATAATATTTTATGAAGCCAAAAAAAATACTCAGTTATGAAATAACCACCTGTTGAACCACGGACATTGAACATTTATTACCAGACTATAACACAAAGCATTATCATTCTTATATATACAGTGTGTTTCTTAATGTTAAGCTGATATTTAAGGAGGTGATTATTATTGGTATTATTTTAAGAAAAAATAATTATGAATACATGTTCTAAACATCTTACATTTTGATTATATTACAGATATATTTATGAAATTTAGAACACGTCTTCTACGCATCGAATGCATTTTAGGCGTACAAAAATTATTGTGTTTTTTAATTTCTTTCTAGCTGATACAGAAACAATTTCCACAAAACAGTCACCGCATCAGATTTTTAGCAATTTAATCCTAGTAAAATGACTTACTTTTTGTGCAAAAACCATGCCTCGGGCGAAAGAAAACCAAGAGATAAAAATTGTTTAGAAAAGAATGAAGATTTTGAAAATAATGTTTATTTTAAGGGAAGTCAGTGGCGTACTATTTTTTTCCCAAAAATAAATTTAAATCCCGTACGGACGTCACTGGTTCGAATAAATAAAATTATTTGTACATCAAAAAAGCATTTTGATGCATAGGCGTCATCGTTTTTAATAAGTTGTACAAATTTTATAAAGATATCCCGAATAACATCAGAGTTGTTATGAAAATAAGTAATTTTTTAGTAAATTTTACCCTGTATCTTAATATTAATCTCTGTCGCATGCATTAAAATACAGACCAGGCAGATGAAGTGTCCAGGATGGTATATTAGAAGCCACCTAGAACCGAAATTTTAAGTTACACAATAATAATATTAGTTGTAGAGTCTCTCCATCAGAGAAGATTTCGACAGATCTATGAATTAAACTGTCAGACAACTGTCATTGTCTTCTGTATTCTCGTTGGACAGACGTTAATAATTGTTTTATTAATTATATTTTATATTTTCCGTGTTATTAGAATTTCGTTTGGCTTTTTTCCCAGTTACTGATTTTTAGCCGACCATACTAATGGTATAGTAGGCTATTAAGATCGGCAAAAAAAAGTTTTTTTTTAATTTCACTCAAAATGAGTTATTTGGGTCATAAATGACCTAGATACAAAATATTTTCATGGTGTCTGTCTGTCTGTCCGTCTGTCTGTAACACGATAACTCAAAAACCGCTAAACCGATGTTAAACAAATTTGGCACAAAAATACTGTGGCACCCGAGAATCTGACCATTAGTTTTTGGTGGGGGTGGGGGGTTGGTAAGGGGGTATGGGAGGGGGTTAAAAATTTTAAAAAATCGTAACTCCAACATTACAGTAGCTAGCGAAACGCGGTTTTCAATTTAAGATAAGGAATAATATTTGCAACAAAATTTGTAATAACGTCAAAATCAGTCAAAGTCGCAGTTTTTAGATAAAAAAATTGGAAAAATTTCTTTACTCTGAAACTAAAAGAACTGCCTACCAAGTTTTTATTAATATATTTTAGTATGGGCGGCTATACGTGCCTCCCGGCGACAATCTTTTTCCTTCAAGTGGATTTTGGTAATGCCAATTGCATGTTTAGGTGTGTTCTGTGTCTATATTATCACTCTGAAGTATGAGTTGTTTAAAGTGCTAAACTGATTTCCTTTCTTTTGTATGAAACAAGAAGTGATCGGATTCTCTAGCTTTAAATTACATAGACAGTTCATTGAATGGTTTAAGTAAAAGTAAAAGCAATAAAATCTATATTTAAGGTCAATTTTTTTTCTATACAGGATGTATTTTATATAAATGCAAGTGTTTTAACTTTAAGTATATACAGGGTGTTTCAAAACAAATGCGAAAAACTTCAGGGGGTGATTCTTTGTTCAAAATAAATGGTAGTTTGCTTCATAAACGTTGGGTCAAAAAGTCAACCATTAGATCGCAAAGCCATAAGACGGAAAAATAATATTTTTATTTTTTATCTTGAAAACGAAAGAGATAGACTAATAAAATTTTATGGAAGCATTATTGTTATAAAAACACACTTTCTGGTAATTTTTCACTTTTTAAAATGAGTGGAAGGGGTTGAAATAAACTACCCTATCATTCTTGTTAACGAAATTTAAAGAAAAATCTTATCAAACACATGCAAAAAATTAATTTGGATAGTTTAGTTTGTTTAGAAATTTTTTATCTCTTATATTTTTGATAAAACTCACCGATTTGAAATTAAAAATAAAATGTAAAGCATTACATGTCAGGACAAAAAACATCTTCTGGTAAAGAATCTAGCGGGCTGCTGTAATTTTTTTAGGAAAAAATCTAGTCGGCCGCTGTTACTTTTTAGGATGTTCCTAATATTATTTTATTTGACATTACTCTACTGCAATACGTTATTATCTAGATGATTATTATTATTATCGTTATTATCACTAGATTCTTAATCTAAAAATGTTCTTTGTCCTGACATGTAATGCTTTACATTTTATTTTTTAATTTCAAATCGGTGAGTTTTATCAAAGAAACACAAGAGATAAAAAAGTTTCTAAACAAACTAAACTATCCAAATTAAAGCATTTGCATGTGTTTGATAAGATTTTTCTTTAAATTTCGTTAACAAGAATGATAGGGGTAGTTTATTTCAACCCCTTCCACTCATTTTAAAAAAGTGAAAAAATTACCAGAAAGTGTGTTTTCATAACAGTAATGCTTCCATAAAATTTCATTAGTCTATCTCTTTATGTTTTCAAGATAAAAAATAAAAACATTATTTTTCCGCCATCTTTGTGCCGCGATATCTCCCTAATGGTTGACTTTTGACCCAACGTTTATAAAGCAAACTACCCTTTATTTTGAACAAGGAATCACCCCCTAAAGTTTTTCGCATTTGTTTTGAAACACCCTGTATACATATATTTTACATTTTTCTTGACATTTACCGTGAAATTTTATGAAAACTTTTAGAGCTGCAGGTTCATTCTCTAAAATTTCTTTACAGTGATTTGGAGCCTCCTGCAATGTTATCCACATTCAGTATCTACATTCAGTATATTTGTGTTTATAAGTTTACATTGCTTAATTAAATTTTCTACACAGTAAATTAAGCAAATTAATTTTAATTAAAGCAGTAGCATTACTAACTATTTATTCATTCTATAAAATGCAGTATAGGTACTTATTTACACTTTACACACTAATACATTTTTAAATATTATATTTTCAACTAAATTGAGAGAATAAATTTAAACAATTATTGCAGGTAATCGTATCGCTACATTACGCAGTATTTTCAATTAATTTAAGTGTATACTTTCTTGTCCATAGTGGCAACACTAGACTTCGAATAAGTTGAGATTCGGCTGATTGCCGATTGATGCTGATGGTTCTCAAAATGTAGGCATTATATTTTGAAATTTTCAAAATTAAATAATTTGGTTATTTTCGATTTATTTTAAAAATAGTAAATAGGAAATATGTTTCTATTGTCCAGATCTAACACTCTTTAAATTACTTGCACTTATTTAAGAAACACCCTGTATAATATGCGGGGATATAATGTTAAATACAGGGTGTCCACGAAAGGTCAGAAAATTTTATCTTAAATCTTTTGATAAGATTTACTTTGCTGAAAAATATATCAATCTGTTCTATATAACCTCAGTACAAAAAATAATTATAGATATACGGGGCGTTAAATTTAATCAGTATTTTAGTGCCAAATTGTGTTCACTATTTATTGATATACGACAACCTTGATTATTTATTTACTTTTTTATGATATTTTTTATCAAATAGAATATAAAGTTTTTAACGACGAAGAAGGTACAATGAGTTTATATTTTACATATTGATTTAAGAAATTAAATGACTTATTTTTCTTTCAGGTGAAATGAACGTTTCCTATTTATTTACCAGATTCCGTTTTAATTGGGACGAAGTTGACTACAGTATATTTTCTACATACAGTATGATAACAAATTTAGTAGGTAAGATATTTTTTAATGTATTTTATTAAATAATAATTAGGCAGAAAGAGAAATTCACTATACATACATGCTTTATTTTTATTATAAATACTTATAATTCTTTTTTAAAAAACTTCAGAATAGATATAAATACTATAGAAATACACTGAAACATCAGGGTTATTCAAAATTATATTTTTTTTAATACCTGGCCATTAAAAAACTCGAATCACTGTTGCAAATGTCTAACGATAAAAAAACGTTAGAGTTAGTTTGGATATGTAGATTACTGTAATTTTTTATGTAAAATTATGTGGCGATCGAAAATCATTTCCAAGCTAACTTGATGCTGTTTTTTTTCAATCATACGGTACTAAAAATAATCAGCGTCGTTTTTAGAGTAATAATTGGTGATAATTCCTATTAGGACATCCCCTGTCTTTTATAAACATCGATTATTTAGATGCAATTCTCTTCAGATCGTATCTCTTCAACTAGAATATATTCAAGTAGAAAGATAATACCGTTGATTGAAGAATTGACCTTATGGGCAATTTCGTCCATACATATGTACATACTGCCATTACTCGCTGACGAGTATTTGACACGCATCAGAAGATTTCCTTTCATGAGCTTTTCTGTGACTTGCCCGATACGTGATGATATCTGTCTACCGCACTCCGGACATTCAAAAATCTCATTGCTTTTTTGCCTCTTCACTTTTTGGTTGTCGCTGAGTTTACAATTCTTTTCTATGCCGTTCTATTGTGAGCTGCTTCTTCCCACTCATTCTGCATGTTAATCCCCTTTAAGTTTTCGTGGAAAATATCCTTGTATCTTTTGAGTTGTCCACCCGGCCTCCTCTTACCGTATATAAGCTCGCCGTAAAGCAGAGATTTTGGTATGCGGTTTTTTTGCATTCTGCATACGTGACCAGCCCATCTTAAGCGGGATTTTGTAATCATGACTTCAATACTCTCGCAGTTAGCTTTTTCAAGAACCGATACGTTTGAGACATGATGGAACCATTTGATTCTGAGTTGTCTAAGATGTCTCTGTTGCAACTTGTTTAATGCGTTCATGTGTCGGCGGTTCTGCACCCAGATTTCGCTTCCATATAACATGGTGGGAGTTAGTTTGGTTAGGTTTGGTATTTATTATTGCTCGGTACACTGCAAATTTCGTTTTGGTGCTCAAGTCATGATTGTAGAGAACCCTGTCTTTTAATTTCCAGAATGCTCTTGAGGCGCTGCTAATCCTGTGCTGAATTTCAGAGTCGATTATTGGCCTTTTCCAAAATTAAACTGCCGAGGTAATTGAATTCGGCTACATATTCCAATAGTTCTTCTCTGATTTTTATAGCATTGTTGTGATCTTCCGGGGGAGTGTACATGATTTTAGTTTTATCAATGTTCAGCTTAAGTCCAAAAGCCTCGTATGCCCAGGTATATATGTGTTCAACATTTCTTGCAATTGCTGTAACGTATTTGCAACTAGAGCACAGTCAACAGCGATTTCGTCCAAGATATAGACCTGTCCGAGATGTAGCTGGCGATACAGTCGCCGCTAGTCAACCTGCCCGAGATTTAGCTTAGCTCAGCGCCGCTGCGCGCTGATAGTCGTTTGCAGTACAACGGATAAAGAATACTGTACCGTAGTTCTGCTTTCAGTCGACAGAGTGGGTGGTTCCGGAGACAGTGTTGCCAGAACTACGGATTAATCCGTAAGATTTTGGGTACAGTACTTTAAAAAACCGGATTTTCTATCATTCAACAATTTAATATAATACTATATGATTAAACAAAGAACGGCGTCAGAGTTGGCTTGGAAATGAGGATCGCTGTTATTTCATATGTAAAATATTATGGAAAATGTCAATAGTCGTAATTTCCAAGCCAACTAAACGAATTTCATGTGAAATACTCAATAGGTACCTATAAAATAATTTTTATTTTTGTTGTTTATTCTATGATTAACAGGAATACATTTTCAATACATAAACGCGGATTTTTCAACCAAATATATTTTCGTCAGAGATATTACATATTTTAATATGGCAATACTGCTTTCAAATCCACACCGTCTTTGATATGCATTCGCTAGCCGAATTAGAGAAAATGAGTGTTTTATGCGTTGGCCGCAGACGAGTAGAGGCTTCACCATACAGCACTTGAGACCGTAAGGGGATCTTCCCAATTATTTTAATCAACGATAACATTATTTTTTCAAAATATACTTTTTATTATTTGGAAATATAGTTTTATCTTTCTATTTTTTCTAAATTAATTATTAATGTTGTTTTGTTATTAACAAATACGTGTATTCAACATATTTAACTTTTAGAACTACGTAAATTGTCAACAATTATCATGTTCATTTTATTGGTATTATGGTACATTGGCAATCAAACCACAATATCTTTTTTAGTTACGCCATTGTTCAGTTTTCCTTCAATTCTATAACTAGTTAATTTACTTTATTTTGCGTTGTAGAAAGACAAACCTCAAACTAATCAAGATCCTTAATTAAACTGTCAAACAACTCAAATAACAACAACATTTCTCAAATAAAAGCAAATTATTAATTAAAAACAATACTTTTTGTATTTTATTTAAAAAAAATATTTGATGATAAGTTTAATGGGATATTTGCTATATCTAAAAAATGTTTTTTTTTTCATTTTCTTATAGGAACTTCGGTATCAGTAGGTATTTTCAGCCATTTGTTGAAAATAGACGATGGTATCATAGGAATTTACTCGTCAATGAGCAAAATTTTATCAAGCTTTGTGTATGGCTTTGCAAAAACATCTTTAGTATTTTACTTAGGTAAGTTTCGTATATTGAAAAATCAAGGAATTATTTTTAAAGAAATGATTTAAAAAGCTTTTAATGTTGCACCTTTAAATGTTAAAAATGTATTTCTATATTTATGATTTGGAATAAACATTTCTTTAAAAATACGATTAAAAATTCTTTAGAATAAAATAACTAAAACGTATTATCTAAAGATAGTTTTACGATATATAAATAAATGAATATAATTTATTGTATTGATGCAGCTGAAAATCATCATTCTTAGTAAAAGAAAATTATACAATAAATATCGATTTTTGAAATTCAATCTGTGCTAAAAAATCATCTCTGCATAGCTGAACCACAAAATAGAAATCAACCAGAAGGTTGACTCTCAAAATGCGCGCGAAACGGTGGCTAACCTAAAAATTCCTTTATGAGCGGGTAACACCTGTCAATGTAGCGGCGTTAGCGGTTTAATCAGGGCAGGTCAGGGTTTAGTTGAATTCTGACGATCGCATAATAGGAATATATCACATAAAAACGAATTTTAAAAAGCGAAACAAATAAAAATAAATGTTAATAAGGAGAAATAAATATTATTAAACAAATGCATAGATTGTTTTATTTTAAATACTGTATTAACCCATCTTAACACAATACTTATTACCTACCTACCTAAACATAATTTTATTATTATAATGAGCCCGATTTATCTGGGTAACATTGTGTTCAAGCGAAACTTTCCCAGTACGTTATTTTATTTTGACAACTAAAGAGACAGCTTTATTTATGTGTCAAATTACATATAAACCAACGCCAATCCAGCACAATATTTTTTCTACTCGTAATAAATTCCTTGAAATAATAATTTCTGAATATTTTTTAAAACGTAACTCGCTATGGAAAAAAATATTGTTTTATACACGACGATAAAACTGAATTATCGTCTCCCGAAATTAATTCACTGGCGATTTCATCGCTCGTGAATTAATCTTTTCGGTCGACGATATAATACCATTTTATCGTCTTCAATAAAAAATAACTATTTTTGTTTCTCAGATAAGCCAATGTGTGGATTAAATAAACTGCCGTGTATCGAGCAACACAGAGATGGAGTGCTAAAACTTTTGCTTCACTACCAATCTTTGGTAGATAATAGGATATCGAATTCAGATGGTAAAAACTTATATAAACGTATGTCCTAATTTTTTTTCAGTGATTGCTTCTTAAGTGCAAAAAATCAGTGTTAGAGATTTTTGAGAACATATTTTGATCAAAAATCTTAAAGCTCGTTTAGACTGCGCCTCTTTCAATTTAAAGCGGCAAACCATTAAGCATGCTCAGTTTCATACCAAGAAGTATGCCCCATTCTGCTTAAAGTCACCATAGACGCACAGCTTTTTGCACAGGCAAACCTGTGTGTGTGTATGTGTGTGCGGTAGGCATTAGCAGCCCCGGATCTACAATTTTTTTGAACCGGGGCAAAAAATTGATAGAAGCGCCCCCTCTCTCCAGCGTTTGCAATAAATTAATTTAAAAAACTTACAAATATCTAGATATAGGTAGGCATTTTTCGTAAACGGGACAGAATGAGCCCTTAAGCTTCATTCAGAACCTCCGAATTAGTGATCATTTTCAATTAGTAGAAAAAGTAAACAAACTTTTGACTTTTCCACTAACTATATTTCAAATTTTGCGGGAAATGTCATTTTAGCCATTGATTAACATTCGTCAAGAAAAATGGTGGTTAGAAATCAAAAGTTTATTGTTTTATAAGCTAAATATTTGGCTTTCTTTATGGATACAACTGACTACCGCAAGCTGTTGCTAGGATATTCTATAGTCTATCCAACGAGAAGATCCTTGACAGTGATGTCTGTCATTTTAATTTCAAAGTAGTTTATTTTATTTTACAAAGAAATAAGTTGGTACAACTGGAACGCATAGCAGGAAATTAATATATGTATTTAAAATTTGACTGACAAGTAACTTCAAAATATTGTGAAAAAACTGTATAAAACTGAAAAATGTAATCAGAGTTACTTTATTGACTAAAAAAACCGGTATGTGTTAATACAAACAAACAAAAACAAGACACCACATACCAAAAAATATAAAAAAGAACTATTTCTTAATTTCAAGCTTTATGAAACTTCCCGCATTTATGATTATATTTGTCAATATAACTTATGTACAAATACAAATTTGTAATATTCCATTTATTTATTTGTAATATTAAAGGAATAAATAAAACAACATAAATAAAACAAACTATTTTATTAATAATAACACTTACCAAATTTTATACCTCACAGGTTGATTAATTAACTTTAATCTTAATTTTTTTAAACCAGTACCTTTTGCCATTATTTTTCTGCAGTACTAAAATCCATTATTTACCTATCGTGTGATGTCGATATTTTTCAGCTACGCCAGTTTTTAGTATGTGTTTAGTATGGTTCTTCTACCATATTCGAGATGCACTTATCTACGACGAGATGGTATACGAACTTTATTGATAGTAACTTTATTGGTGTATCTGTATAAGACTTTCTCCCTGGGCAGCAAGTATTAACCATAAACTGTGCTCTGGGTTCTACAGTTAATTTTCACTCGATTTTTCCTACACTTGACTTCAAAAGACACAAAACACTCGTAATAACACGAATCAAAATGCATCATCTTCCAAAACGCAGGGTATTTGACAAAAGTTGTCACAAGATTATAACCTATAATTTGGCAAGACTTTGACAAACGTCAAAAATCTAAAGGCGAGTTCATACGCATCGGCGTCCGTTTGTCGTTCATCGTTCCGTCAAACCAATAAAATTGAAATACGATCTGTCATTTTTGAAATAAACCAATAAAACTGGTTAAAAACAACAAGTGACGACGCATGACGAATTTATATTTAAACCCATCCATCGTTAACTTAAAATTGTTAGAAACTTTTTTAGTAAAATAAATAGATTGGTATAGGACGTCATCTGCTTTTCTTCTGTCATCGTCTGTCGAAATCTTACCGGAGAAAAAAAAACAGAAAGTATATTAATTTTAATTGTTTTTAAACATTGTGAATGATCGTAAACTAAAAAGTGTAATAATTGAAACCGCTAATTTAATCCACTAATTGCGAGGTTCTGAATGAAACTTTAGAATGTGTTCAAAAAACTAACTGGGCGTTTTAAAATAAAATTAATACTTTGATAGAAGAACGTAAGGTGCATACTAGGCGCTTTGTGGAGCAATTTTTGATTTTCAACCATATTATATAATGATTTTGTGCCCCTGACACTGGTGCCTGGGGCAGGGGCCTGGTTTGCCCCCCCTTAGATCCGGGGCTGGGCATTAGAACAGGTTAAATTTTACAAATTGGCCTACACAGTCAGTCTATGCTAAAGAACTGAGCGTCTGTGGGAGCTCTACAGAAATATAACATATTTTAAGACAATTAAATTATTCATTATTTAATTTTAATAACTTAGTGTAATAACTATTGGTGTATAGTTAGTTCATATCAAATAAACTTTTTAGTCACGTGATTAAGCTTTGACTGGCACAGCGTTGCCCGCTTTACATATTTTCTATTAATCAAAATATTTTTAGGAAACAAAAATAAACTAATTATAAATATATAAACAGATATCATTTACATCAACAAAACTCACCTCCTTAACAGCACTTAAAGGCCATAAAGGACCGTTATTACCGCTTTCCCATTCAAAATATTCTAATGAAGCTGCAATGAGCTTTTTTACGGCCATTAAGCTATCTTCTACATTTCGCACTAAAAGAGGTTCTAAAAAGAACAATGTTCGACTGCAAGGTCTGCTAATAAACATTTTTATAAGCTTAAAGTATCACAACACAATTGATTTAAAACAAAAACTCGTAATACAAAACTAATAAGTGTCAAAACGAATGACAATGTCAGGAAATAAACAAATGAATGTGCCAACTTGACATTCTTTACAGCAGAGCTACCACCTGAATCCCCAGCGGAAAATTTAATAATAGTCAGCCCTTCGCCGAATTTGTCCGTGAATTTAAAAATTGCGCTCTCGATTACGTAACTAAAACTTTAATTGGTATCGAATATATGTTTGTTTGTTTAACAATTTTTTGAATAAGAATAAAAAACCAGATAGAACCAAAATGTATAAATAATAAACCATCACAACATCGCACATTTTTAACAAATATTTATCAAAATTATTATTTTAGTGTCAGAAAAAGCATGCGATTGTCCTGCCCAATGCGAGTTTGATAAATTTAGAGTATCGGTTACCTCCACAAAATTAGTACCAGGTAAAATAATGTAAGTTTTAGTATAGGTAACTATTATGATAGTTATTTATTTTTTAAATCTTTTATTTTTTGTTCACAGTGATGGTTTAAATGGTAGTAAAGATGTGGTACATATCAATGTATTTTTCTCGAAACACCAACAGATATGGACTACTAACGTTATAACTACCAGCATATATTTGTGGTGTAAGTTAAAGTTTTCCTCAGATGTCAATTTCCAAAAAAATATATCATAAACCTTTCAGCTTTAGCAGCTCTGTCTTTTAAATATTTTTTGATAAGCTAATAAAGAATAATTTTAGCATCATTTGGAGGGATCTACAGCTTCTTCTTAGGCTGTAGCATCATCAGTATTTTGGAGATTTTCTACTATATTGGAAAGGTGTATATTTATCGTGAAAAACAAGTAAATATAGTAAAACCAAACATTATTGAAAAAGATGCGCTTAATTTCGAAGACACAAAAATAGAGCGCGTATATCCTAGTATTCAGTATGTTAACTAATGCAATAAAAATCATGTTTAATAGAATAGATAAGTTGTATACTGAGTTTTTTTAACAATGAAAAATACTTCATTTAAATTATTGTAGCTAATTATAAAATAAAACTGTCCATAATATAATTATTATTTTTTGTTTTTTAAGTTTTATCCTTAAAGACCATTCTTTGATCGATTTTAATCAAGATTCATTAATCAGAGATTGATTTTATTAATATATT